TGCCTGGAGGGGACCTTTTGCACCCAGCATCTGCTCCCCAACATACTCAACCCCTCCAGCTCCACCCTGACCTTTGAGCACTGAGGCAGGAATTGGCTTGCCTGTGCATACGGAGAGCTTATAAAATCTTTGAGCTGAGCATGGTGGTCAGGGAAGGATGCACACCATAGATTTTTAAAAAAACCTCTACTCCCCTCTTTCTACTCCCACGTGGAGCTATATAATAAAGCTGTAAAGAGCTCAGATTCCCACAGTGCAGCCCATAGCTCACAGGCTTTGCACACGAAAGGTCTCAGGTTCACTCCCTGGCTTCTCCAAGTAAGGCGGGGAAAGACTCCAGTTAGAAATCCTGGAGACCTGCTGGTAGACAGAACAGCCAATACTGAGCTGGATGGATCAATGGTCTGTCTCTGTCCAAGGACGCATCCACAGTTAGATACCTTCTAATATGATGAGATCCAAATCTGGGATGCCATCTTCTGGGTCCACACGCCCATGCAGGTCACATGACCAACGCAAGATCGCTGCTCCCAAAAAGCACTTTTTCAGGGCAGCAATCTTGCATGGCACCCCATAAAACACATTTTTGGGTGCCATACCCAGAAAAAGTGCAGCCCGAAATCGCATGAGATCACAATGGCCATCTTCACTGCTGTCCTATCGTGACAGAAAACAGGGTGTCCCATTTTTCCCAAGCCAGTTGATGGATATGCCCTTACCTTTTGTCCCATGCTTTCTAGGCACACATCCGAGCACTTTTTGTTGTTGTTGTTGCCCTGCTCCTTGCCCCAGGAAAACCTGCTCTTTAATGCTGAATTGGAACAAAACGGCAATTCAGGTTATCCACAGGTTGCCGCTAAGTCCGATTCAGCAGTAAAGAGCAGGTTTTCATGGGGAAAGTGCCGGAGGTATTGCCACATTTTTGTTGCAGTCTCCCCCTTGTGCTTCACTAATGGGAACAAGTACCTTAAGGAGGGAACATTTCCCAGATGGTTAAACCATCCATACAGAGTAGAGTAGAGATACTGAGAGAGGATAGAAGCCCTAAACTGGGCCAGTTTATTTTACATGAGAGCACTAGTTTTGGAGTCTTTTTAGCTCCTTTTTTAAAGCACTGCTCTTTACTCCAGTGAGTTTTAGTATCTGTCATAACGAAGGCTGGTATTGATGCCATACTCTCACCTCTCTGGTCCTCACAAGGTCTGAAATCATTACGGTCTAATTATACAGATCCTTTCTCTTGCTTTCAATTCACTTTTCAAAAGGCCTCGTGGCTTAGCCCAGTCAGGCTGCTGTTTTCTCTCTCTCTTTCTCCCTTGCCCTCATCTCCCCTTTGTCTCCAGCACAATATCTAAGGGGCCTAATGAAAAATAAACAAGGCAATGAAGGCTATCCTTAGTAAATGAAAAGAAACAAGATTCACAAATGGGGTTGCAAACATGTGGCTGTCACCGTACTCAATGGCTCTCTGCTCCCAAAACTCCCTCTGCCTTCCCCACAAAGGCCAAGAAGAAGCTATTTAGGTTTGCAGTTGGTCCTCCTAAAATGGAGAAAAGTGACCTCTTCAGCATTTACCAAGCAACTGGTATGGACAAATGGATCTGAGGGGTTGTGGGGGGTTTTTACTATGGAGAACCATCTTCAGATAAACTCCAAGCCAATTATACTCTCCCCAATGTAAGACATGGGTGAGCAGAAGATAGATCAGTATCTGAGTGAATTTCAGTATCTTGGATAGGATTTCTGACTCTCACTTGTTCAGCAATAACAAATAGATACTGCTGAAGTTAAGCCAGAATGGGGTGCAGCTAAGGGTGCATTTTAGTGTGGAAAAACTGTGAACTTCATTCAGTTCTGGTACTCAAAATGAATTCCTGGACTCCGAATTCCTATTTTGCATCAGACTCCGGTTCACAGCTCTTATGAATCAAGTAAAAATTATAGTAGACTGAACAAACCTGCAAACCTTCCAACCCCTGACATAAGGCATCAATTGCACCCTTGTGAAAGCCCAGTGAAAGGAGCTGGGCTACAAAACTGATGTTGCAAATGCTGTTTAGTAAGAGGGCTGTAGTAGCAGAGAGCGGCAATAAAATCAATGTTCAGTGAGAGAAAACATAAATAAAACTCTGAAAAGGACTCTTTCAATGTCTTCTCATGGAAATCAGTCAGTGCAAATACATCTAATGCTATATTTCTGTTTCTTCAAAGACGAATATGACTTGCAGAGATATACTCACATCTTTAATAAAACAAGAGGTCGCTTGCATTTTCTCATTGCTCCATGTACTGGGTTAGGTCTAGAGATGTCCTTCCACAAGGAGAAGGCCTCTTCCACATCCATGAGGACTTTTTCTGACTTAGCACAAGATCCATGCATGAAAACATTCTTTGTATTCTTGTTTTATATATTTTAAATACATTTAAAACACATCACTGCACCATGGGTACATTAGTAGTATTATTATTTGCAAGACAGGAAGCCAGTTCTCTCCTGATATAGATTATAGGCAGGGGATGCAAAAACTAGGAGCACGTGTGAGAGAAAATTTCCTTCCTGACACTGTAAAACCTACATCATTTCCCCCTCTTTAAATTAATACTGGCCCAGGTTTCCTAATCAGAAAATAAAGGCTCTTGTGATAGTGAATCGCAAGGGAAGTACAGCATGGAAGATGATGATTAGGGCAGCATGAAGGACTTGCAGCATTGTTCGTAGGAAGAGATAAGTGACCAAAAGGTCCAGACCTGCTAATCCCACCTCCCTTCAATAGCTTTAAATCTATCACTAAAAAATTCAGCATTGATCTGTTAGAGAGGTGGGTGGCCTCAGGCATGAATGAAACACTTCACTCTTAAAGCAGTCATGAGTCTCTGGACTGCAGGACTAGAAAGGTGTCAGCAAATGTCAGCCGTAATTCACACACCTACGCCAGGCCCTCCAGTTTGCAGACTCCTCTTGGGTGGTGCCACTGGCCTAATCCAACAGTTATATCTAGAATATGCACATATTAGTACTGATGAGACTCTTAATTCTACGAAATTATTATAATTGATGGTGCACTTTTTAAAAGGGTAATTTTATCCCAGTGGAACAGATAACAGGGTGCTTCCAGAAAAGTGTCTATTTGCTCCCATGCAGTTTTCCTCAGCATTCACACAATATTGCTGGCATTTTGTTAGCTCCAAGCCTGTTGCCCAAACCCTATTTGCATCCCATTTACAAAATTAGAAGAACTGCTTATTTTTGTAAAGCTATGCAGGTGACAATGAGTTATATTCCTATTTCTGCAAACCTCTGTTTGCAATTAGGAATAAATTTGGAAATCAAGGAAACAGGAATGTCAGAAAATGGCTTTGCATAGCTTAAAACTATTTAAGGGGGGCAAGAGTAAGAAAAGTTTCCCAGAATGACAATGCATTGGGGCAAGGCAGGGGGTGATGTTGCTGCTATTGACCAAATTATTCGAATTTCTGTATTTTTAAAAGCCATTTGAAGAGCCCTGACTATGTTGATGCAGTACAGCTGGGGAATGTTCAGATTTCCAAAGAAGTGAAATGTAAACTCTTTTTAAAAGTTCCCAATGGCAGGTGTATATGGAGGTGGAAAGTATAATGCTTGGGATGAGTGAAGTTGTAGACAGTAGCCAACAGGTGGTCATGCCACACAGCCACTATCCACACAACACTTCATACTGGAATAGATCCAGTAGCTGGGTGAGAAATTGTGTTTTCCCAGTGACAAATTACTGTGGCTTTAGTGCTAGGAAAAACTGCAATATCCCTGCAGTAAAATGCCTGAAGCAACAATATCTCTGCAGTAGATCATATGGAGAAACAAATAAACAGTCTATGGGAAGAACTTCCTTGGATATCAGTAGATATACTAACTTTTCCTAATGGGGATTATCTTGTTTTCTTACAGAGGTTGCCTAATCTGTGAACAGAAGTACTTTACAGAGTCACATAAAAATCCAAACCTTTGTAGCTTCCCAGTAGCTTTCTAAAATTAGTAATGCCGCTGCATCCAATTTTCAATTCATTTAAGGTAAAATCTCTCTTCTTTTGCAGAGACTTTCAGTCTTTGACTGAGCCTAAATCCAGAAGAAGAAAGTCTTCTTCAAGGCATCACAAGTATGACTAAGACCAAGTGATGTAAGATCAAGTGATATGAAAAGGATACAAGTGATGACACTCCCATCTATGGTCCATGGCACAGAACATCAAGCAATTTAGTGTACCTTAGCCCCTGGGTACAAAATTTGCAATAGAGGAAAGGCCCAGTAAACCCAAATTGCTAGGGTGAAACCAATATATTTTCCTGCCTGAGGCAAAGTAAAACAAAAAGGAGGCTCCTCCTAGATATAGAAGCTCAATGGCCTGACAATTTAACTAATTTTTATTCCCTTTATCTTTGCAAACTGTTTAGAGGCTATTGTAGTTAAGCAGTATATAAATTGCCAAAAGAACTCAACAAAAATCCAGTCTGGAGGTTACCAGCACATGGAGGACAGTGACCAGACTATGAAGTCCAACTACCATCATCACAAAATCCAGCCATGCTCAGCAGGAAGAAAACTGCTGAATCTGTTTATTCTTCCAGATCTCTCCCTTACCTACTCCCCCAAGTAAAAGTATTCTTATTTCCATCAGTGACTTTGCAGCTGACGTCTGTCCTCCTGAGGCTGATAATGGTGCAATGTAGGAGGGACGATCATCCCTTCCTTCCTACTGGCAACACAAGGGAGCTCCATCTGTTCTGTTCTTCCCTCAGATCAGAAAGCTAACTGACTCTCTCTTCAACCAACAGACTAACACATGGGTAGGCAAACTAAGGCCCAGGGGCCGGATCCAGCCCAATCACCTTCTAAAGCCGGCCCACAGATGGTCCAGGAATCAGCGTGTTTTTACAGTTTTTACATGAGTAGAATGTGTGCTTTTATTTAAAATGCATCTCTGGGTTATTTGTGGGGCATAGGAATTCGTTCATTTTTTTTTTTCAAAATATAGTCCGGCCCCCCACAAGGTCTGAGGGGCAGTGGACCGGCCCCCAGCTGAAAAAGCTTGCTGACCCTTGCGCTAACACTTTGTAAACAGTAAAGATTTAGACTTCTTTTGGGATAATTGAAGAGAGGCAGTGTGGTGTACAAGTTAGAGTGCTGTACTAGAACCTTGGGAAACCAGGGTTCAAACCTCAACTCGGCCTCTTAGCCTAACCTACATCAAAGGGTTCTTGTGATTATCAGATGAGGAGAGAGCCATGTACACCACTTTGAGCTCTTGGAAGGAAAGGTGGGATATAAATGCATCCCCTCTCATATGCCAACCTGCCCACACAGAGTTCTAAATCATGCTGGGAGCCTCATAAGTAGAGCCAGCTTCCTTCTGGAGACCCTCAGTCTCAATGCATGGAGTTTGGTGGGGGCAGGTTATTAGGAATGCAAATGGAAGGGGCAGGGGGACACAAGCATGTCCTCAATCTTTCCCCTCACACAATGGGAAATGTGTGAGGGGAACACATGAATAGGATTATAGCAATACCACAGGCTGCTCCTCTTGCTTTTCACAGTCCCTGGCCCCTCTGTTTACAATTTTTCTTCCTATCCCTGTGAATATGCATCTACACATTATTCTGTATTTACAAACTGGGAGTTCTTCCGATGAAAACTTATGCCACACAAATCTGTTTGTCTTTAAGGCACCACAAGACTTCATTGCTTTTGTTGTGACAAGTTAGCACAGCTTCCCCTCTGGAAGTTGTAATATAAGAATGGTGATGTGGTGCATATTATCCCCCCAAATCATGTGAGAAAACAACAACAGCAACATGTGCATTGACTTTCCGGGATATATGCTGCCTAAAAATGTAAACTTAAGTGTTCATTCCTAGATCATTAGCATATATGCACATATTTGAGCATGAGCATGGGCCATTATGAACCAAAACATAATGAAAGCATTGGTCCTCTGAGGGTACAGATGTTGAAGGGCTTGCTGGATCTGGGATGAGGCAGGCACAGACTCCAGAAGATGTTTGCACATGTCCCACAACCCTTGTAACTATAAGCACGGCTTCCACAAGGCAATATTTCACAAGGAGAATCTGGCTTTCCTGGAAACTCTGGACCTCCCATCATAAAAGCACTTTGCTGTAGATCGCTGCTTGTTTCACAGATGGATGAGTTTTGGACACAGGGCTGGCAGGAACCCTGCAAACATTTGCAAAGATTAAAAAATGAAGGGTTGTTGGAGCAGTTCTACAATGACAAGCAAAAGAAAGAAAGAAAGAAAGAAAGAAAGAAAGAAAGAAAGAAAGAAAGAAAGAAAGAAGAGATTGGAAATGCCAGATTATTGGCAAAATAAGCAAGAAAGTTCTTGGAAAATGCATAAAAAGAAGGAGGATCCCCTTCCCCAGGTGGGTCGTTGACATTGCAAAATTGCCATTGTTTTCCTTGTCTGACTGCCTGGATACTTTGAGGTCAAAACACTGAGTATCCAGGGCAAAGAGAAAAGCAGGACCCATCATTTTAATGCATACACAAAAAGTCCAGGGGCCTTGAAGCCAGAATTTTGCTAAGAGAGTTCAGAAAGGAAACCCTTTCCCCCAAAGTGGCTCGTTATAACTACTGAGTGGCTTGGAAGTTGGCCACTGTAATGCAACATGCTCTCCATACAAAAGGCAGAGTCATCCAGTCTACTGATTTTACTAGAGTCCATCATATGGTGAGTGAAACAGTAAATTGTGCATCATGACCCAGAAGGGACCTTTACTGGCAAGGAACCAAAGAAGGCTATAAGTCTGGAGCTGGAGACTTTCATGCCTGCCAGTAATCTTGCAAAAAGAAAAAAGAAACCCACCCCCCTCTCTTACTGGCCACTCCTATATCTTCTACACTGCTCAGCATCTGTCAATCACTTGACAAGTCAGGAAATACTGAAGTGCACCTACAGAACCTTAGCTCAGCCCTGGCATTCTCCCCAGCAAGGGGCGTTTATCATATGCTCTCTCTTCCCCTCCCTCCCCCACTTTCTTTTACTGAGAGGAGATGTTTCTGTACTTTGCTGAATGTTTCTGGAATGCACACTTTGTCCTGAACAAACTTCCAACAGTGTACAAACTCTTCCCTTCCTACCCACTGCCCACCACCTTGCCGTGTGGGTCAGCCCCCAATTACTCTTTCCACAATTGTCCTAGGAAACTGTGGTCCCCCAGATGTTGTTGGACTACAAATCCTATCCATTAGCTTCTATTATTTTCTTTCAATAATTTATTAAAACAAAGCAGCCAAGCTGTTTGTTGCTCTCTTTCCTCAATTCTTGTTCCTTGTGGAAAGCCTCCCTCAGTGTGAAGGGTCTGCTTTCCTTCAGAGACAAACCTCTGGGGGCAGGGACACAACCAAAGCCAGTCAATTAGAGTCTGAGGCTTAGACTACATTTATCTCATGAAAAAGGGGATTAAAACCCTCTGATAATTTATAAAGCTCTTAAAAGTTTAAAGGGGAATTGAACTTTTATCTGAGCGATCAGACAACGTAAAGCATGAAAAGGCCATGCAGAAGGCAGGCTGGAGCTGCTGAGTATTTCTACTAATAACCCGAGGCTCCGATCTTGCTCCAAGGAATGCCATTGTACCTGGGGTTTGCGCAAATGACATTGTCCAGTAGCCCATCGTTTCTGTTGAGCTGCACTTGAACTTTGAGCACCACCTTGAACTGTGTTAGCTAGAAGAGCAGCCAGTTAAGAAAGCAAGTTGGGAGCTAAGAAGCCTATGACTGAAATACCATGTCAAAAATGAAGCCACAAGATGGGTCAAGGGCCAAAGAACATATAGCATTAACCATGCAATCCTAAGGCTACTGCTGGGGGTAGGGGGACCCAAGCCATCTCAACCACCTCATTCAAAACTCTGTAAAGCTATTGCCAGCAGGGCAGAAGTGAAAATGGGAAAATGTTCTTGCCCCACACCATCCTTTTCTAGTGTGCATATATAAAAAAATGATTTCCCACCGGTTGGAAATCAGCTCTTAGAATGACTTAAATTTAGTCCCTGGTTTGGGGGCAAGTTGGGGGACTTGTACTGGAAATATGCAGAAAACTTGTGTGTCAAGGAGTTCGTGTAGAGTGATGCACAGCCGCCTTCCATGCTGAGTCTACCTGAGTCTCTTAGAAGTCAGCTTTGCTGCTGCTTCTATAGCTTTCACTGCCATTTTTTGCTGAGCCAGCTATGTCTACATCTGTCTAAGACAGTGTGTGCTGGGAGTCTGTTATTTCCCTCTAGATAGGCCTTGGCGGACTCTCAAGGTCAGCCACCTGTTCAGTGAGTAACTGGGATGCCCGCATAAGTATATATATTGGCTGGCTGCCACAGGCCACTTAAAGTGTACAATATATAAACATGATCACGACTGTTGTATAACCAGGACCACAGGTATCAATATGCTGGACAAGCAACGTTCAGTGAAGCACAGCATAGTCCACAAGATTACGCAGCATATAAAGAGGTGAGGAAGCCCTGTCTATTGGAACATTAGCACAGACCTGGATTGCAGAAGGCAGATCTAATTGCTGTTCTGAGTGGTTCCTGGCAACTTGGAAGTATTCAGGTTATCTCAGTGTCATGTGTAAATGGGAAGATTCTATATACAAGTTGATGCCTTGACACATTTGTTAAGGGTGTGAATACCTTTTTATTTGAACCACGGTTAAAAGTTGGGCATCCAAATACCTGTGAGTTCTGTGATATGTGAGTTCTGACAAGGCTGCTGACTGAATCTAGAGCACAACTAGCTTTGTGGCATAGTTTCTAGCGTTATTTGGGTTCCAAACATCCTTAGCATTTGCAGTGTGTGCATTAAGGCTTAGGATACACCCAGAGCTATTTAAAAATAATTCGGCACGACGAATTTCTGTTTCACATGACCTGCATGCAAACATCCTCATTCTTGCCCTGCCTAGCTGTGCAGTACAGACAAAATGACCTATTAATTGTGACTTACTGAATTTCAGCGTATCTTGTTAAATAATCGTTGATCCTGCACAACCAGAGGGCATGTAGCAGGCTGAATTGGTTCACAGGAAACATACAAGACATTCTCATACATTGCCACCTGAAAGATATGAGATAAAACATGGAATTCAGTCCAGCCACATTCACACCCATGTAAAGTATGCCTTCCTGTCTGAAGTCACTCTGGGAATGAACCCCCACCCCACCACTGCCAGGTCTGTTTCTGACAATGGTAAAGTGAGTGCTGGAGATTATCTGGATTAAAATTCAGTAGGAACTAGGGATGTTGGAAAATTCCAACAAGAATGGGAGTGGAAGTAGCCATTGTTCATTTATTCTACCTGTTTCCGGAATGTAAACAAATCCAGTGAATATGGTCAGCATTTGCTGCTGCTGTTGCTCTCAGACCACAAACTATACTTCCCCGCACCTGTCCCGCAATTTGCACTGCCTTTCCTTTGCATTGAAATGAATGGGGTGGAATAACAGGATGACAACATAACTTTGTAGTTTAAATAATAAATTAGATAAATGACCTAAATTTGCCATAGCAAGCAGTGGGATAATTAACATAGATTTCGGTGATAGACAAACTGCAGTGGAATGGAAACTGCTCCATGTGGTGACTGTAGGACAGAATGGAAAACAAGCAGCAGAGATGGTAAGCTTCTTTGCAAAGTTTTTGTATTTTGTATTTGTCATCTGCAGGCTGGGGCGTGGTATCTTTAACATCCACCAAAACTTATTGTATACAGTGGTTCCTCGGGTTACATACGCTTCAGGTTACACATGCTTCAGGTTACAGACTCCGCTAACCCAGAAATTAATATTAGGTTCAGAACTTTGCTTCAGGATAAGAACAGAAATTGGGCGGCGGCAGCACAGTGGCAGCAGGAGGCCCCATTAGCTAAAGTGGTGCTTCAGGTTAAGAACAGTCTCAGGTTAAGAACAGACCTCCAGAACGAATTAAGTACTTAACCCGAGGTACCACTGTAGTAGTATTTGCAGAAAAATAATTTCTAGGGAGTACCTGATCTCAGATGAACCCACAGGAAAGATGTGTCATCACTAGGGGGGAAAACAGAGAGCAAACTCTGGAGATTCCAATGACTAGAAAATGAGGCAGAAACAGGAAATGTGCACTAAAAGAGAGAGGAAAACAGCAGCTCTTTATGACCTGGTACCCCAGTGACTCACTCATTGGATAAAAGCTCTTAAAGTCGGGAGCTGTCAGGCTGGCTCATCTCACAGAAATTGCTTAGAATGATACTTTCACCTTTTGCTTTATAACTTTCCTTCTAGGAGGGCTAGAGACTTTTCTTTTTGTAATGAAAGCTCAGAGTCTGGCCCCCTGCTGGCTGTGGGTCTATTACATCAGTACTCGCCTCTCAGCAATCTTAATCGTTAGTGATCATTACAAATGTAATCTACCGTAATGTCTAGAGGCCATCTTTTCCACCCCTGATCTACACCAAAGTCCTGAAAACTTTATTATCCATTTAGTTAGGAATTGTCCTTTGGAAGTGCTTTTGTAAAGTACAGAGACCCTAACGTAAAAGACAGAACATGCAATCCAAAGGCCTTTAGAGACCCAGTGGTCTCAGAGGTACATTTAAATTCTTGGGACTTAATTCAAACTTCTGTCAGATTGATCCTGGAGTTTCTGGAGAGGTTGAAGGTTTCCCTCACTCAATTTTATACATTGTCATATTTAATGCCAATTTTACAACCATTAAATGAGATACATGTTTATTTTCTTGCAATTATAGTCCATCTTTCTTCCATCATGGAATCCACAGCAGCATACATGTGGTTCCCATACAGTTTGTAAGACTAGAACAAAATGTGCACATTTACAAACATACATACATACATACATATAGTATATATGGGTACAGGTATATTCATGTACGTAATAAGTATAGTATGTCAATATGTGCATGTTGTTCTAGTCCCACAAAACTGCCTGGGAACCATATGTATAGGCTAATATGAAGTCAGAGCAAGCACAAAATTAGCAAAAATGACTTTTGATACAAAAGCAATTATGCTTCAGCAAGATTTTAAAATGTGGATTTGATGAGCACTGGTTTTCAGCAATACGTACGCTTGAGATGTTTGTAAAGATAAAGATAAAAAGGAGGAGCCAAGTGGGATACATTTGTACTGCAGTTTGGAGACCAAATTTTCTTGGAACAGCAAGGCAGAAAACTAAATGAGAGGTTATTTCTGAGGGGAAGATAAAAATCTTGGGAGCCAATCGGAAAGAAACACCCCAATTATTCTTGTTTTTCAGTCGCCTTCCACTTATGTCTCGAGGCAATGTACAAAATATAATACATATAAAACAGCAAATTAGAACGATGAACATGGACAAAAGGTGATAGTCCAATAGACCAGAGAGTTGGAGGGAGGGAAGCAAGGGCCCTGAACCCGAGCTCAGCCTGGATATTTGAGTTGACCTCAGAGGTCAACCATACTAGCTAGCTAAGAGACCATTACACATTAAGAACCAATATCTTTGTTAGTTAATCCTTTGTATGTGTTTGTATGTGTGTAGCATCCTCCAACTTGTTCCTGCTCCCAGAGAGAAGTCCACTTTTGCCCCAACAAGTTGATTAGTCAAATAGTTCAAAATGCTGAATACTTTGAAGGGAAAGCATGAGTCTGCAAATAACTAAGGCTAGATTTACTTAATACATTATTGTCTATTGGGCATGCATCTGATTCTGCTTAATTGTCTGCTGACTGACATGTACAGTATGTCAGAAATATAGCGAAGACTGAGGCACCTAACAGCTCCCTTGCTTCTGTATCTTCCTCTTTTGTTGAGCAGTTCTTTAGGGAGGGTGGTTTGTAATGCCTTTTTGTGATAAAAATTGCACAGCTTTAATGCTTGCCAAAATCCCTCTTCGCTCCAGCGGGGAAAGTACCTTGAAGTAGAAAAAAAAAGGGAAGAAAAAGAAAAGCCCTGCTTAACTTGACTTTTTACCTCACAACTGTCCTGCACTCAAGGCCGCAGCCTGTGCCTCTCAGATCAGAGTTCTCTTCCCTCACTTCTCCAAGCTGCTATCCCTCCTGGTTTAATTTTGTTACATAAGAAGTGGAAAATTTCATGAGGGAGTTGAGCTGCAGGGAATTTCACAGACCTTCCAGACCTTCAAAATCCTCCAGTTGCCTGAGTTACAAGAGAAACATTGCTGGCACAGGGAAAGCAGATAAGTTCAGGTAACCTGGCATAATGAAAGCTTGACAGTACACACAACATGCCACTTGTTAGCCATTCCCGCCTTGTTAACACTTCCACATCCTAGATGCAACAGCATGCCAGACGGAGGGGATATTATGTTATACCTTTACAATATCCTCTCTTGTTCTAGGTATAATAATGCACAGGAGGATCTATTGTGCACAAGACATAATAAAAGCCTTGTGCTGTGCATGCAGTGAGAAATTGTTTAAAATGTAAATAACAGAACCCTGTGCAGAGAACAAAGGGGCTTGTGATGCAATTATGAAGGCTGCATGTTGCAGGTAAAAAGCCACAAAAGGCAACATGCTTAAGACAGTATTTGGACATCAAGCTAAACCATGGTTTCAGCCCAACATGAATGAGCCTCGCTTCCTCCAAGGCTTGTGCACCCCATTCCTCCTTCCATGTGGCCAGGAGAAGGAGCTGGGCTTTTCTACTTTAGGTTTATTGCAGTTTGTCATGAAGAGATAGAATCCTGCTCCACTTGGACTTTCCCTTCCCACCCCACAGAGGGCCAGCTACCATCAACAATCCTGAGGGAAGGATTCCAGAAGAGACAGGGCAGTGGGGAATATCACCTCAGGGCCTGCTCCAGCTGAACTACAGTGGTACCTCGGTTTTCCAGCATCTCAGAAGCCAAACGTTTCTGTTTTCGAACACTGAAAACCCAGAAGTAAATGTTTCCGCTTTTTGTTTCTCAAGTTTCTCAACCGCCCTTTGTGCCTTGGTTGTCGAACATTTCTTCCGGAACAGATTAAGTTCGCCAGTCGAGGTACCACTGTATTCTATATCCCCACCACCACATTTTACCATCAACTGCCCCGTGGGCAGAATTCTGATTACTTTTTATATGTTGCTATTATTGCGTGTGGTTTTTGTTTTGTTTTTTAAGTTAAGGTTTCTTGGAAGGATTTGTATCCTAAATGGCAGGATATATTGTAACAAATAATGGTAAATAATATTCTCCAGACAGACAAACTGTGATTAGCATTAAATATAGTTAGGTGTTTTATAAGGCAGCTTCAAACCACTTGGTTTTTTTGAAATATAAGTGGGATATTATTATTATAATAATATCCTCAAAATGTCTTTTTTTAAGCTAAAGGTATTGGTTAAGGGAGGGAAGGAGGATTTCTCTGTCCACTCAGATAATGGAAGGCAAGCATTTACAGCCACCCAGGTTCATATTTTGATCCAGGAAATTACCCCTTTTGTCATAATAATAGCCTATCATATCGGACTGTTGCAAGGATTGATGAGGTAATAGGTGATTCCACATTAGTTCCACATTAGTAAGAACACACTCCCTCAGGAAGGGACATGGGTGGCATTGTGGGTTAAACCACAGAGCCTAGGACTTGCCGATCAGAAGGTTGGCGGTTCAAATCCCTGCGACAGGGTGAGCTCCCGTTGTTTGGTCCCTGCTCCTGCCAACCTAGCAGTTCGAAAGCACGTCAAAGTGCAAGTAGATAAATAGGTACCACTCTGGCGGGAAGGTAAACGGCGTTTCCATGCGCTGCTCTGGTTTGCCAGAAGCGGCTTAGTCATGCTGGCCACATGACCCGGAAGCTGTACACAGGTTTCTCGGCCAATAAAGCAAGATGAGCGCCGCAACCCCAGAGTCGGACACGACTGGACCTAATGGTCAGGGGTCCCCTTACCTTACTCCCTCAGGAGGCTGTGAACTCTGCTTCATTTTAAGTTTTTAAGCAGACATTGGAAATCTATCTGTCATGCGTGCTTTAGCTGAGATTCCTGCAATGCAGGGGGTTGGACTAGATGACCCTTGGGGTCCCTTCCAATTCTATCATTCTATTCTGTTATTCTATGATTCCCCTTAGATCTGCCCAGTGAATGTTTATGAAGCACTTTGAATATTTAAACTCTTCACTGCATAAATACTGAGTATTACTCATGTTTGTGTGCTTATAACCATAACACCCAACAGTACGGACCAGTGGTTCAGTTAAGTAATTTTAGATTCTGATCTTACAGGGAGCAGGAGTGGGGGGCCTCTAGATGTGAGTCTGGAATAAAATGGATGGCAGGAGCTAATTTGTCCCTCTGTTTCTGCCTGATTAGTGAAGGATTAAGCATCTATTGCATTTGAGTGGATTGTGCTCAAACAGCTAAAACTGAGTAGCAGGAGCTCCTGCTGAGGAATATTTGCAAAATCTGAATAACCTACATGTAGCCCCACATTTTACTTCTGCAAACAACAGCAACAACCGCATATAAGAAAAAAGTTTTTAAAATACTTTACATGATTTTCACTTGCATGAGTTTATATCTCCTTATTTCAGTGAAATTACAGTGATGTAACAGCAGAGTACTATTTCACACCTCTCTCTTCCCTAAATGGTAGGAGATTCCAAGGCAGCTTTACAGGGTCAGTTTTCTTTTTTACAATAAAAGAATGAACATTACCTTTGTTTTTTTAGTATCTATTTCTATCTACAAATGTCCAGGTAGTGTTCATGCCAGCACATAGGAAGCCAGCATTAGCCCCAGTGTAGCATCTGCCCCCTAAAACAGCAGCAGTAGCCCTCAGTCTCCTAAACCTAAAAATTAAAAGTGTTCTTCTTTGTCTCTAACAAAGGGTGCTTCCAGACTTTCATTATTTTGAAGAGTGGAATTCAGTCACATCCCAGCAAATTTAGGCTGCACAATTAAAGCTGATTTGGAGCTCTTGTGCAACAAACCCACTTCCCCCTAGCGATTGAGGAATCACTTCTTTCTGGTTTCCTTCTTTCTCATTTTTCCAATCTTAAATTCAGTCCTCCATATTTCCACAGCAATCTGTGATTTATTTATTTTTATGCTCATGAAAATTCATCAGCATTTTAGTGCAAATTTCTCCAAACACATAACACACAAACAAACACTTTTCTCTAATATTCACCTTTCTTTGCAAGACTGTTTCCCCTAATATGGTGCATTTTTGCATGTAATTTTCACTAATTCATGCATTTTTATGCTCACTTTAGCCATGTATATGCATTTTTTTAACACATTACTTGGGTGGAAAACTACATTGCAAAATTTGGAGAGGTGTTGTGTTTTTTTTAAAGGATGGCTCTGTTTTGGTTTGTGTATTGTTTTGGAAAGTGTACGATTTGGCAGCTTCACCTTTAAATGCAAACTGAATGAAATTTATCCCTCATCCCTACTTCCCCTCCCTGGCACTGGATTTTTTGTGATAAGGAAAGTGATGAGGAAATTCACTGAAATGCATTGGATAACATTTGTTTGACTCAACATCGGCTGATTTACCTGCGAATAAGTCAGGGTGAATGCTCAATAAACAAGGTTGTTTGGAATTGACCCAAGTTCAAATTTCACAAATGGTGAGCGTAGTGCAGGCTGCTCCCAGACAGCCAGTTTATTGAGCATTAACCCAGTTTTGTTGACAGGTAAGTTAGAGAATGTTGAGTCAAGCAAATGTTATTCTGCACTTTCCAAAGTCTTCAGGGAGGTTTGACAGCACAGACTATTTATTGAGAATTCATTCCAGTTTGTTTGTGGATAAGTGAGACAATTTTGCATCAAGGAAGTTGCGTCAACCATACTTGCCTCATCACTTTCCTTAATGGAAAAAGTCTGATTTGAGGGAAGGCAGGGAGAGAGAAATGGTGCACACTGAATTTATCAGAAGATTTCTTTTTTTTTTCTTAAGATATTTATTAAGAGTTTACAAATTACAGAAAAAGAGAACAGGAAAAGAAAACAATAAAGAATTAGACAAAACAAAACAATACCTTACAATACAACAAAGAAAAAATAAAACAATACAATAAAACAACAAAGAAAAATAGAACAAAAACATTTAAAAACATATCCAACCTTTCCATATCTTTACCTTTCATATACTTGTTTCATCAACCTCCTCACACCTCCCTTTTTTGTATTCTAGTTCAATTAACTATTTCAGCAAGTTCTTTCCATCTTTCTCAATTTTCGTTCTAAAATTTAACTTAAGGCACTCTAACCTTAAATTTTCCACTTCGGTCCATTAACGATCTATTTTTACTTAGTTCTTTATAACATTTCTGCTAAAACCATATAACTTCATTCCAGCATCCTTCTAACATTCATTAATTTTGCAATATTTCTGTAAATATACTTTAAATTTTTTCCAATCTTCTTCCACCGACTCTTCTCCCTGGTCTCGAATTCTGCCAGTCATTTCCGCCAGTTCCATGTAGTCCATCAGCTTCATCTGCCATTCTTCCCTGGTGGGTAGATCTTGTGTCTTCCAATACTTTGCAATAAGTATTCTTGCAATAATATCTTGAATTTATCAGAAGATTTGACTCAAAAACATTGTCTGTCTGCAGGCATCCAGAATCTAAGAACATGGACTATCCCCGACTATCAAATCTCAGCAGTCAGGAAGCTGCTCAAGCTGTTTTGCACAACAGATGAACAGGCCCGAACCAGATAGTAGGTTAGAAATCAACACCAAAGTTTTGCCAGCTTTAAGAATTAGGACTTGCTATTCCCTTACATAAGCATATCTTGCATGGTTTGATGCCCAAACCACATGTGATAGCAGTAAACAGGAAGCTACCTTATACTGAGCAAGACTATGGATCCATGAAACTCAGTATTGTCTGCACCAACTGGCAACAGGTATCCATTGTTTCAGGCAGAGTTCTCTCCCAGCTCTGTCTGGAGATGGTGAGGATTGAACTGGGAACATTCCATTTTTCTTTTTAAGAGGCTATATGAGCGCAGCACTACATTCAGGGCTGATTTGGGGGCAGAAATCCAGGGGACCACAAAAGTAAACAAAGTGCACAAGTGTGAGGGGATTGTGTCGTGTGGCAGCAGGGGCATCACGTGCCTCAGATACTTGCACAAGCACCTTCCATTTAGCAAATCACATTACGATCGTGCTGGCAAAGTCAACAGTCAGAGTGCCAGAAAAACAGTTTCCTAACAACAGAGTTGCCCTGGAGGGGGAAACATCTGTATCCACTCCAGCCAATGAGTTGTTGCTCATGTAGCTAGACGTCTTGAAAAATCTAATAATCTGAACAAGCCTGAAGC